TTCTAACTACTCATGCTTATGCAGCAGGTTCTCGGTCAGAAAGCGTACCGGTCATACATACAAACAAGCAGAATAATAGTATAGATGGTAGGATTCAACAGACACACAAGTTTATGTCATGCAGTCACGTGGTAACAAAACAGTTTAACTAACAAAGAAGCTGACATCTGCTTTAGATGTTTTAGCTTCTTTTGTTTCAGGCTTCTTGTTTCTTTTAATCTTAACCCTTTCCACACAGGTCACGGGTCAAAGGCCATGTCATCACGTTTGTTGACTCGCATTCAAAATTTTATAGAACTATTTTATGAATTTATATCAATAAGTTTGGTATCAAACTGTAGATTATAATTCAGATTTTAGTATTATACATTAGTTGGTTACTTAATTTAAAAGTAAATATTAAAGAAACACACCTAAAGATCTATCTTTATGTGTCAAGTGGTTTGTTGAATGCAGCACTGGTTCAAATTAGATGTTTGTGATACCAAATAATAAGTCTATAGTTTCATAGGAATTAGGAACTCAAATTACTGATATTAACAAGGTAGCATATAAAATAAGAACCTCCTATTTTTTCTATTTGCCAAGATATCGGACATGTACTGAATCAAACCCAGTGGTCCCGCTCACCTCTTTCCAGTTTTAGAAATGATCTCTTATATATCCTTACATGTGAATAACCAATTGAAAGCTTAGAATGTCCCCCTAATGGCTTTCTCAGCCATTTTCAAATATTAAGACATTTTCATGTTCTTTTGATACAAATCTTCAAGTTGGTAAGGTGAGTCTTTAGACTGCTCAAAATTTCATATTTTTTTAGACCCAAATACAGTTTAATTAGTTTGATAAATGAAAGTGAAATTCTATGGTATCGATATAGTAGTTTATGATTTTTTGGGGTATATATAAAACCTATAAAAAAAAAAAAAATTTCATTTCACATCCTCCATGTGCAAAATATTGTAAGACTTGGCAGCCTACGACAAACAGCAAACGAGTACAAAGGTCGTAACTAGAAGAGATAATTATTTGCTTTACTTCTTTATTTATTGTTCTATGTTTTATAAAAATAAGTAAGAAGTTAGTTGTAAATAGTAATAATGTATATACATATATCATGTATAATAATTGAAATGTAATTGTATTTTACAAAATACTAGTCCACTAAAACACAACCAAGACAGGTCCTTTGTAAAGACTAAAGATCAGTTTTATATTAATTGATACAGTAACACAAGTGCACGAGCACCATGTCATTGTAACTTCTGTATTGTTAGCCAGACACAGCTGAAAGGTCAATATAATAAAAATAATAAATATATATAAATGTATACTGTTATGACTTTTCAGTTTTTTAGTCTATTTTTTTATGGTGATTACGAGATCGGTCAAATAGACCAAACCTGTACTGAGATTCGTTACTGAAAATAACAGATGAAATTTAAAATTTTTTCTTAAGAAATATTTGATAGCTGTCTGGATGTTATAAAGATTTTGCATGTGAAATTGGAAAATTTTCTAATGCAAAAAAGTATTTTTAATCTTAAAATGAAAATTGCTTTGCATGATGGATAGGCAACATGTGAAAAGAAAAAAGGAATAAG